TTTTATTACTAAAATTACACTTCAAAGGTTTAAAAAAGAATAAAAAAAATAAAAATGTTGGATATCTCAGCACTGCACACTTTATCCCTAGTTAATTTTTTTTTTTTAGCCCCCCCCCCCCCCCGACAGCACAGGGACCCGGTGGATTTCTCCTTTAACCCTCTGGCGGACCCCCGGTTCCTGTTCTTCGACCACTCACTGGTGGAGGCCGTGAAGATGCAAAACCCCGAGGTGCACGCCTTCTTCAGGCTGCTGGCGCTCTGCCACACCGCCATGGCCGAGGAGAAGAAGGAAGGTGAACACCTGTAAAGCCAAATGTGTCGTATTTAAAACATAGTAAGGTTTCTGAAGTCTTTTGGATGTGAGACTTTCTGCATCATTCAGTGGTAAAAGCTTTGCTCAAACCCCTGTTGTTCACATTCAGATATACCTGATAACAGCCAGTAGAAGACTACACCAACATACATTTTTGACTTATTGCACGCTAATTTGATCAAAATCATTTCTGTTTTTTTTGTGTTTTTTCATTTTTCTGTTTTTAAAATATTTTTAAAAGTCTTTTGATCTACCAAAAAGGTACTAAATCCAAGAAACTGGCTTCCTGTTTCCAGAATAAAAAGCCCAAAAAAAGGAGCCTACAGTGGGGGAAATAAGTATTGGACCCCTTGCTGATTTTGCAGGTTTGCCCACTTACAAAGAATGCAACGATCTATAACTTTAATCATATGTACATTCTAACAGAGAGAGACAGAATCCCAAAGAAAATTCCAGAAAATCACATCGTATGAATTTATAAAAATTGATAACCATCTGATGAGGAAAAATAGTCATTCTTTGTAAGTGGGCAAACCTGCAAAATCAGCAAGGGGTCAAATACTTATTTCCCTCACTGTACATGTTGCTCCCCAGGGGAGCTTTCCTACCAGGCCCAGTCCCCAGAAAGTCTTTTGATCCACCGAAAATGTACTAAATCGGAGAAACTGGCTTCCTTCATATTTTTAGCCTTTTTTAAAATCATTTTTCTGTTTTAAAAATATTTTTAAAAGTCTTTTAACCTACCGAAAAGGTACTAAATCCAAGAAAATGGCTTCCTTCATATTTGTAGCCTTTTTTAAAATAATATTTCTGTTTTAAAAATATTTTTAAAAGTCTTTTGATCTACCGAAAAGGTACTAAATCCAATAAACTAGATTCCTGTTTCCAGAATAAACAGAGTTATTTAAGCCATGTTTTTGGGTTTAAATAGGACAGAGGGAAGACTCATCATTTTGGTTTATTCATAATTTTTTAATGTCATATTTGTAGCCTTTTTTTATCATTTTTTTATTTTTAAAATATTTTTTAAAGTCTTTGGAACTACTGAAAAGGTATTAAATCGGAGAAACTGACTTCCTTCATATTTTTAGCCCTTTTTAAAATCATTTTTCTGTTTTTAAAATATTTTAAAAAGTCTTTTGATCTACCGAAAAGGTACTAAAGCGGAAAAACTGGC